CCTTTGTATCTTGCTTGAGGAGCAAAGAGGGTCTGAGACGGCTAATCATCAGTGGCCCCTGGCACAGTGGCGACTGCCCATGGCTCCTCAAATGGCAGGTTGGCCTGTGGGGGGTGCAGGGAGCCTGAGTCAGGAGGAAAACAGGTCCCACTCCCCCCACCTCCCGCATCCCTGACTGCTGGTCACCTGGGCTCCAAGTGGGTTCTGTCCGTGCAGCGTGCGCCTGCGGTGCCACTGGCGAAGGGAGTCACGGGCCTCGGAGCTGAGCCCCTGGGGTGCGCGGCCCGCGTCAGGCTGGTAGTGGGCGATGTGGTGCAGCGCCCCAAACCACGTGGTCAGGTAGTACCCGGCTGGGGACGAGAAGGGGCGGTCAGCGCGGCTCTCTGGGTTTCCGGTCACCCGCCTTTCCTGCTGCAGGTGTTCTGGAGGTGGGGACTCACCCTCTCCCCGTAGCTCGTCGGGATCCAAGAGCTCCATTAGAAACTCCACGTCCAGCTGTGTCTCCCCAATGTGCGGACTCCAGATCAGCTCCTCGGTCAAGGCCGGCAGGAAGGCGTCGGCCCCCAGGGGTTCTGGGAAAGCCAGAGGACAGGTCCTGAGGTGGCGGGGGCGGTGGAGACATCTGCCATCCGATCCCCAGGACCGCGAGACCTGGCTGCCTCCCCACCTTGTCCAGTATGCAAACGCCTCCTACCAGAATCCTCAGGACCGCCACCCTCTGTCACCCTCTTCTTCGACGTGCGCACAGGTGCATCCTATCTGGCTCCCCCAGCCTTCAAACCACTGCACTCCCAGTTAGACCCCCACGGCTCCTTTACCTTGGTTGTCGCCGCCCGCCAGGCCCGAGTACACGTCGCTGCACACCTCCAGCAGGAGCGCCACCTTGCGGCGCGGCGCGCACGCGGCGTGCAGGTGCTCTAGGCGCGCGTGGATGCGGCTCCGCAGGGCGGGGGCGGGGCTTGGACCCTCAAGTCCCGCCCCCTGAGCACCTGGAGGCCCCGCCCCCACCCGCAGGGCTATTTGCCGCCGCCTCAGTCGCCTCAGTTCCTGGGCGCGGAGCGTGCGGAGTCGCGTCCACAGTGCGGGCTTCAGGGGCTCCAGCACCGCCCGGCAAACGGCCGTCTCCACAGCGGGACCTGCGGGGCGTGGGGCGAGTGAGGACAGGCCACCCAGTTGACCTACTCTGGCAGGCCGTTACCCCTCCCCAGCTTCTGGTCACCCTCAGGGTAGATAGAGGTGTGAACACGTGCCTGGGACAAAGCGTAGGGCTGTCCACGCACGAGTGAGACGGTGCGTGGGGGGCACAGGTTCTTTTATTTATTTGCTTTTTATTTAGAGACAGGGTCCCACTGAGTTGCTTAGCGCCTCGCTTTTGCTGAGGCTGGCTTTAAACTCGCGATCCTCCTGCCTTAGCCTCCCCAGCTAGGAGAGCACCACCCCGCCCGGTTGATGAACGGGCTGTGACTTGCAGGAAAGGGGCAGCGAGCGAAGAGGAAACAGGTGTGCGCACCGATCAGGAGAAAGAAGGTGGATGCGAGCACATAGGTAGGGCCAAGTGAATGCGCACCTGAGGCTGTGGGGGTTCCCTTCCAGCCCTCCCCATTACCGAGATCCTCGTCCTTCTGGGGGCCCCCCAGGCCCCTGTTCCCAAAGACAGCTCTGACTTCGGGGTCTTTTGACAAGTAATCCTGGAGGTCAGTAAGGAGGTGCCGCACATCCTGCAGCAGCTCGGTGGCCGGGTCTCCTGGCCTGTGGGAACCCACGGAATCCGAGGTGAGGCGGGCCCGGAAGCCCCGGTACTGCCTGGCCACGTAGCTGCTCCGCGCCCTGGCCAGAGCTCGGACGTGGACAGTGAGCACATCCTCCGGGGCCTCCACGTCATCCTTGTAGGGGTCGTTGTCTTCGTCCTCCTCCTCTTTCTCCTCCACCAGACTGGCCAGAGCCGGCCCAGGAGGGCGCACCTCTGGGCTGAGCGGCCCTTCCACCCAGGAGACCCGGTGCTGGACGGGGTTCCTGGCGGCTGGAAGTGAGGAGAGGGTTGGGTTCCACAGAGCAGCGGGAGCAGCGCCCTCATCTCTCCCAGGGCCCCAGCTCACCTGGATCATGCCTCTGGGCAGTCTCTGGCTCCGTCGTTTGGGAGTTCTGCTCTGTTCCCCAGCTTCCGTGCGTCTCCAGGTAGAGCTGGTTCACCACAGACAGCGCCCCCCCTGAAGGGTCACCTTGTACCCTGCCAACCTGCACAGAATCTGGAGACCAGCACAAGTAGGTGTCCCAGGTGTCTTGGGGTGAGCCCTGGTTCCTTCAGAGCACCAGGAGACTTAGTTCCTAGCCTTCTTCACTCTAGACCAAGAATGGAATGCCCCCGGATCCCTCCTTTTCCAATTCTGTCCTCTGTTAGGACTCAGGAGTCCAGGATCCCATCCCCGCCTCGCTAAAGGACCCCCAAATCTAGGCCTACAGCTCTCTCTGATCTCTGGCGTTGTCCTCCTTCAGACCCAGTGATCTGGTCCCTCAAGTCCAGTCCCTGTGGAGTAGAGGGCCAGCAAGGCCACCCGCTCTTCTTTACCTTTGTATTTCTCTCCGGGCACCAGAGTAGAAGAGGGCAGGAGCAGTGTTTTAGGCAAAACATCCCTGAGAAAAGAGAAGAGAACCACAGTGTGCATCTTAGGGACAGTCCCCCTGAGCCCCTTTGATGGGTGACCGGTACCTGCTAGCTGATAAGAAGGCCAGGAGATGGGGCAGATCTGGCATGCAGAGGTTGGAGGTCTCCAGGGACACACCTGGGGGCAGGAAGCAAGTAGGGATGAGAACAAAGAAAAAAGAAAAAAAAAAAGCAACAAGACTGGAGGGTTGGCAGATTCGTCTCTCCTGGGACACTCTACCACCATCCCTGCCATCTACCCGCGCCGCAGGGGCCTTCAGAACAGGGACAATTCCATCTCTTAGAGTCCCCATCTTTTCCTCCCTCTTGATTCTTGCATCCCACTGATGCCACCAAATAGGATTCAGTCATCAGACAAATATTCAGCAGACAAATTCGCTGGCTTCCTGTCTCCTGTGGTGCATTTTCAGTGATTAAAATGACTGGGACCATCTTAGCTCTGGTGGTCAACAAAGGTTACATTTCTGCAGTGGCCCACAGGACGGAAACTAAATCCGCCACTCCAGGAAGACCCAAAGCAAACAAAGGCCCTGCAGCGGGAACACTTACCATGCTCAAAAGACAGGGCATGGCGGGAACAGAGTGCAGGAGGGGCATTAACAGAGGTTTCCATGGCACAGCATCTTATAGGCCGCGATGAGAAGCTTAGATTTGTATCTAAGTGTGTTGCGTGGTATTGGCAGGGTTGGAGGAAGGGGTGTGCAAAGTGGGAGTGGTGTCTGGAAAGACCACCCTGGTAGCTGTGCTCAGCGTGGATTTCAGCAAGACCAGAGCGGGGACTACCGCCATGATCTGGGCAACAGGTGATGGGAGCTCAGACTTAGGTGACAGGGGCAGGCAGGGTGGGGCCGATTTAGAAGATATTCTGGAATGAAAGCTGACAGATCCTGGGGATACATTTGGACTAGAAACCACAGGGAGGTGCCTCACCTCCAGGCAATTTCTGGATCCTGTAGGTGTTGACTTCTCCTGGTGAAGGTCCTGTCTTCAACACCAGGACTTGGCTGGGGTCATGTCCCGTGACCAGGAAACTCTGGTGGTGGGGGTGGAGGCAAAGGTCAACTTGACAAGTGTACCTATGGATATAAACTCTCCCCCTACTCTGAGGTCCATGTGGGTGAGACTGGTTCCCCTAAGCTTTAGGACGTGGGACGGTGACTCAACCTACCCGTACTATGACTGCTCTCTGCCTACTTTTTGGTTCAGGGCATGTGACCAAGCTTAGCCAGTGGACATCTTCCACGGGAATTTTGATAGAGCTCTTTGGAAAACCTCTCTCTCTCTCTCTCTCTCTCTCTCTCTCTCTCTCTCTCTCTCAAAATGCTGGGGATAGAAACCAGGGCCCTGTGCAGGTTAGGTAGCATTCCACCCCTCAAAAGATCTCTTTTTACACTGGGGTTGCTAAGTTGCTGAGTTGGTGGGAGGTGGGATAGATTCCTGATCTGGGGACTTTGTCACCATCTTTGTCACCACAAAAGACAGTGTCCTCCTGAGGAGGAAGATGTGATAGACCCTGTTAGTTGTCCTTTCCAGATCTAGCCCATATTCCTCACAGAACTCCTTGTTCAATGCATCAGCATGCCGCGCCACAGGAAAGGCCAAATGATCTGATTGGAGTGGCTCTTAGCTTTGGCCGTATAACTCCCAGGTGAGCTGGTCCCCCCCTTACCCCCTGATCCCCCAGCAGTGACTGAACCCAAGTATTCTGCCTTTGCTTTTCCTGGTCCAAAGGAAAAAAGAAAGATACAGATACATCCGGGAACTCCTTTCTTCCGGCCTGGAATACATGTGGGCTGGGCCTGGGGAATCATGGGGGAAGTCCTAAAGAATTGTGGAGCAGCTGGCCTTGATGTCACTGAGCTGCCTGCCTCCTGTGGTGCATTTTCAGTGATTAAAATGACTGGGACCATCTTAGCTCTGGTCCTTTCTAGTTATGTTGAGGGATAAATGTCTGTTGAAGCCACCATAGACTGAGCCTTTGCTACAGACCCAAACACCCAGAGTCCCCACCGTTGAGAGCAAAGCCAAGACATGGGAGGAGGAGAAAGTCACAGGTTGTCTGAGGCTCAGAATCCAGACCTTCCAGAAGCTACTTTTACTTCTGGGTTTTTTCGTTTCTCACAACCGACAGGGTCCTGCCTGGTGGTCTCAAGTGTCGTGGGAGGGTCCTCAGCTCTGAGACTCACCCCTAGTGGCCACAGCTCCACCAGGGCCTTCGCATCATTGGCCTCTAACTCTGGGACCTGCCACACACCACGCGTCCTCTGCAGGTGAAGAAGTGGGGTGCCGAGGACCCCTAGAGGAGTCTTGCCTGCTCCGTTTGCCTGTGGCAGGGCCAGCCCGTGACGTATGGAGTCCAGGAGGTCAGGGATCAGAAGTGGGCAGTGTGACATGGAGCTGGGGTCAAAGGTGCAGACCGGGGCAGCCTAGGGACAAAGGGTCAGAGACGGGGCTCAGGGTCTCATGGGGATAAAGATAGAAGGGATTTATAGGTTTGGGGGCCAGAGATGGAGACCTTGGCCCTGGCAGCCCTCACCTCTCCCGCTGGTGGGAGCCGTGGAGGCCACGTCTGGCTGGACCACCTTCAGGGTATGGGAAGCCAGTGAGCCGTGGCCTGGCCTCTGACAGGGAGGGAGATAGGGCTCAAGGCTGCTCCCCACCAGTAGAGCAGGGACCCTGACCATTCAGAAAGGACTCCAGTGACCACTCACTCCAGTGCCCCAGGTTTTAATTCTTTAATTGCTGGATGGTGGAGAAATCTGGGGATGCCGGAGAAAGGCTAGTGTCATTGGTGTGGGGAGAAGACCCACAACAGAAGCTATTTGCCAGGTGGTAGGGAATATGCCAAGATTTTCTCAACTGCTATAGCCGTGCAAATGTGGACTGACTGAATGTGGACCTTGCCAAAACCCAGGGTCTGAAAGAGGTCTCTGTCCCTAATGCAGCGACATTTGTCCAATGTAAGACCATGTGTCCTCTTCTCCCTTCTCAGACTACGGAGGGGCCCTACAATATTTTTTTCTGAACCTTTTCCCTCTTTTTTCGTACCAGGGATTGAACCCAGGGGCACTTAACCACTGAGCTACACCCCCAGCCCTTTCTTTGTATTTTGTTTGGAGACAGGTCTCCCTGAGTTGCTTAAGGCCTCTAAGTTGCTAAGGCTGGCTTTGAACTTTAGATCCTCCTGCCTCAACCTCCCGAGCTGCCGGGATTACAGGCATGCGCCACCAGGCCCGGCTCAACATTTTCTTGTAAAAATTTTCAAACCTACAGAAAATCTCAAAAGAATTTTTTAGTGCATCTTTTTAGTGCATTTTTAGGGATCCACTGTGAACATTTACCCCTATTTGCCTTATTACACATCTGCTTCTTAAGCCATAATCCCTCCATCAGACCCCAGTAGTTTTTTTTTTTTTTCTTTCAGTACAGGGGATTGAACCAAGGAGCTACATCCCCAGCCTTTTTAATTAATTTATTTTTTATACATTTATTTTATTTATTCACTTTTTATGTGGTGCTGAGGATCAAACCCAGTGCCTCACATATGCTAGGCAAGCGTTCTACCTCTGAGCCACAACCACAGCTCCCTGGCCCTTTTGAGACAGGTTCTCACTAAGTTGCTGAGACTGGCCTTGAACTTGTGATCCTCCTGCCTCAGCCTCCCAAGTGGCTGGGATTACAGGATGCGTCACTGTGCCCAGCTAGACCCCAGGTACAGAGTCCAAAAGGGCTTATCCCTCAGAAGAGCACTTTTGAGTATTTCCCTGTAGCAGTTCCAGGAACAGGAAAGGAGAAAACATCCCTGAGCTCAGGCCTAGAGTTAGGTGCCGTGTCCCAGGGAGGGTGGTGAGCACGGAGGGCCCTGCGAGGACTCCCTTCCCGTCTGAGGGGGTGTGCGACAGACCACCAGCAGCTAAGAGGAGCCCAGGATTAGGAAGGAGGCTGGAGGGGCAGGTGTGTGCCTCGTCCAGTAGACGGCGGGAGGGTGAGGCCAGGAGGCGGGTGTCCCCTGGGAGGGGGAGGATGTGGGTGGTGGAGGCCAAGGTTGGGTGGGGGCAGCTGGGGTGCAGATGCCAGATGCTGGGTCCCTCGGGGCCCTACCTGTTTCCGACGGGATGCCTGGGGTAGCAGGAAGTGAAAGTGTCCTCTAGAGAGGAAGCCGAGCAGGCAGGGGGAAGAGGCGGGGCTGGGGGTATCTGAAATCAACCTTCCCCCCTCTTTCCGGGGCTCAGGGCTTAGGAGATCGGACTCTGAAGGAAGGGACTCTGACAGGTTTGGAGGCCAGAGCTCCAAGTCAGGAGGCCCATCCACCCTTGGGGTGCCCTCCTGGCACCCCTCGCTGCGTCTCTGAAGAGCCTGAAGCTCTGTGCCCTCAGTGGCTCAGGACCTCACCCCACCCGCGGGCTGCTTCGAGTACCCCCAGAAAGGAACACAGACCAGGCAGCTGGCGGTTAGTTGGTTTTGGTTTTTTAATTTGTGTCCAAACAAACAACCTCCTCTGCCCATCCCCACGTGGGCAGTGGGTCCCAAGGGAGGGGGCCCAGCACCTACTTTGGGAGGTGGAGGCGGAGACCCAGGAGCCCTATCAGGCTCAGACCCTCCCCAACCACGGTGGGAGGTGGGAGCGTACTGGGAGGGCCACACCCTGGTCTAGGGTGGGTTGGTTGGATCTGCTTGGCCACAGGTCACTGAAGCAGTAGAGTGAGGGCCCTTGGCCCCCTTTGGTGACAGAAGTTTGGGGGCACCCCTGGCCTCCTGGGAGCAGTTAGAGGTTAGGGGAGGCTGCTCCTTAGAGGGCGTGGGCTGTTAGGTCAGGCTGCTTAGGCTTTGGCTTTAAGGGGATGTTAGAGATTTGCTGGGATAAAGTGGGGTGTGGCTAGGACCCCAGTTTTAGGAGGGAGTCGTTAGGAGACTGGGGGGTGCACGGCTCTCCCCAGAGAAGAGCTGCGAGTTAGAGGGGCCAGTGCTGGTTGGGGCTCCGCTGTCCCGGAGGGTCTGGGTGTCCTGCCTGCGAGTCGGGGCTGTCACTGGGGCTTTTCCGGCTCTGCGGTCCTGGCCCCCTCCTTGGCAGGAGGTGGGGACCTCCTGGGGGAAGCTACGGTGTTGGGGTTGGGGGCCCCCGACCCAGACTGGGCATCGATGCTGGCGTGCTCCTTCCGAACGAGGTCCTCCAGCTCTTTCTGCAGGGCAGAGTTGGCAGAAGTCAGAGGTCACATGCCAGAGGGTCAGGGGACGCGTGGGTTGGGTGGGGTCCAAGGACTGGGAGCAGATGGGCTGGGGTCCCCCAGCCGCTCACCTTCCATCCGAGGAGGTCAGCGAGGGCCAGGCAGCCCTGGTCGCAGTCACCCAGCCAGGCCACGTCCCTGCAGGGCGGGCAGGACGGTCAGCGGTGGCGAGGCCAAGGCCTCTGCTGGTTCTTGTGGGTCCCTGGGCCTCTGCCTCCCCCCCGCACTGTCCCCTCACCTGTAGGCCTTCTTGGAGTCGAAGTCCATGCCTCTTCCCAGGCCCATCATCATGCCCAGGAAGGGGTCGGTCTGCAGGGGAGGGGAGACTCAGCGCACAGCCCCGGGGCCAGGTGCCTGGGCCGTGTCCCAGCTCTGGGATTTGGGTCAAGTGACTGGGCCTCTCTGGGCCTTATCTGTCCCGTAGGGACAGTCCTGGCACCCCGGGAGGGCTGCAGCACCACACACCCTGCCCTGCCCGCAGGCGCTGCCGCCACGGATTCAACTGACTGGGTCCAAAAAGGTTTTTAAAAACTGCGTCTCCTCTCCACCGGACACGTCCAGTCCCATTTTCTTGTCATCATTCCCTAAACAATAGCCCGACAGCAGCGCTCCCCAGCGCCCACAAGGTGACGTGTTCTAAGACACCCGAGAGGGAGGAAAGCGCCCAGGGACGCGCGCAGGCCCCGGGCACACCCTCACCACTCCACACGAGGACTCGGCCTCCTTGGATGCTGGTAACCCAGGGCGTCACCAGATGTGCTGGGGACAACTGTCCATGCTGGGAACAGCATGGAGCCCACGGGATGCTTACTCAGGCCTGGCAGCTGCGTCCCCTGTCAGCCAGGGCGACACCCCTCCCCGGGAGGGCACGAGGCCCAGCTGGGGTTCCCCGAAGGCAGCAGCTGCCAGAGCGAGGCCACCCCAGGAAACAGCTGGGAGGAGGGCAGCCCCGCCTGCGCTGGCCTGTCGCCACAGTCGCAGGCCCTGGGCCTGACTCTTGGGTCCCAGGAAGCACTTCACTCCTCTTTTGTGGCTTTAGCAGGTTTGAGGTGGGCTCTGTCACTTGCTTGAAAGGGTCCGAGTGACCCGCGCCCTGTGGAGTCGGGGCAGCCTGGAACGTGGCCGCTCCAGTTCTTGACTCCTGGGTCCGAGCTGAGCAGCCCCAAGGCCTGGGACTCCCCAGCTGGAATTCTCTCGGGGACCTGTCCCCTCCTTCTCAGAAAGCCAGCGGGAGGGAGCCCGCAGCGGGGAGGAGGGGAGGAAGGGCGACCGCAACCCACCTGGCCCGTCTTCTCCTTGTTGATGAGCAGGCGCGGGGTGGAGAGGGGCGCCCTGGGGGCGGAGGGGTGGTCAGGCTCTGTCCCAGCCCGTCCCGGCCGTCCCCCCTCCTACCCCACCTACTTGCTGACGAGGGAGGCGAAGGGCTGCACCTGCAGCGAGGTGCCCATGATGATGAGCAGGTCCACCTTCAGGAAGTCCTGCGCAGCGAGTGGCAGTGAGCTGGCCTCTGCTCCTCCCGCAGCAGGCCCCACGGGTGGCTGGGAAGTGACCTTCCCCGCCCAGGGGAGCAGGGGGGGGACACTTACTGACTGCATGCACGAGAAGAACCGCGCCGGGAGGTTCTCGCCAAAAAAAATGATGTCTGAGGTGGAGACAGATGGACGGACACAGAGACAGGAGGACACAGGGACACGGAGACAGAGAAAATAGGCAGGAGCCCCACCCCGAGGCTGGGGGGTGGAGTCGGGGAGTAGCGGGACGGCAGGGGGACAGAACCCCAGTCTTCCCAGGACGGGTGGGGGCACTGGTGGGGAGCAGGAGTGGCCGGGGCTGGGGCGGGCAGGCGCGGGGCAGGCTCCCTGGCCTCGGGCTCACCAGGTTTCACCACGCTCTGGCACTTCTCGCACCGTGGAGTCACCTCCGTGAAGAGCTTCTCTGGCGGGAGGGACAGGAGGAGAGGGACATGAGACCTGGCAGGGGCTGGCCGCAGCCCCTCTGCCCCTCCTCCTCCTGCTCAGAAAAGACTCCCCTCTTAGAGAAGGTCCCTGTCACCCCCAGGCGTCCAGGGGCGGCCCCGCACCACTGCCCACAGCTACCGAGTAAAAACCCCGACACGGGAGCAGACACGGTCCGCCGGTGCCCGCCAGGGGAACTGGAGTGGGGCTCTCCCAGGGAGTCTTGGAGGACAGCCCTACGTCCCCCCTGGGTCACAAAGGCCAGGTGACCCCCAAGCCTGGTGGCAGCAGGGACAGGGAAGGACAGGCACATGATCCCGGGATGGGACAGAACCTTAGGGCCAGCTGTTGCCCATTCTCTGTGACAGACCCCCGTCCCAGCCCTGTGACAATCACCCTTTTGCTGTTTATGATTAGGAAACAGGAAAGCACTTCTGTCCCCTGCACCCCACACACTGGATGTGTTTGTTCAACTATTCACTTGTTCATTCCCACACTCGTTCAGAGCAGGGTTTCCATGGTGGCACTGGGTCTCCTTCTGCACCGACACACGCTGTTTGTGGGTGATGCAAAAGATCCCGCAGCGAGACATAAAGGGGGTGCTGTGCATTGTATGTCTCCCCAGCTGCATGCCCAGGGGCAGTCGACTGGCATCTGCTCAGAAAGGCCATCCCCAGTGGCTCTGCCACAACTGCACCGCTGTCCTGATGTGCTGTGGACACCGAGGCTCTGTTAGGTCAGCACAGAGAGAACCAGAAATGGCTTCCACGGCCGGACAGTGGCTTCCCTGTCCACAATGATGTCAGACATAGGCTTGCCCTGGCCTTCAAGATGTGTGGACTGCTCATTATTTTTCCTGGACCCTGTCCCACATGAACAGGGATGACAGCCCCAGCGAGCCTGCGGTCTGTCCCCTCGCACAAGCCCCAGCCCTATCCCTCCAGGCCTGCCCCCAGCCTCCCGCGCCATGGATTCTGCTTGTGCATCCACTATGGCAGTCAAAGAAAGCTACCACGTAGCTGTGCGACTTAGATTAATAAAACATTTAACAACATCAGAAGTTCAAAGCTGGGTGTGGTGGCACTTGCCGGAACCCTCAGCAGCCTGGGAGCTGGGGCAGGAGGGTCACAAATTTGAGGCCAGCCCGGGCCACTAAGTGAGAACCCTTCTCCGTACAAAAATAAGAAGGGTGGGGCGCAGCTCAGTGGGGAGGGCTTGTGAGGCACACGTGAAACCCTGGGTTCCAGCCCCAGAAACGCAAGAATTAAAAAATAGGAATTCACCTTTTGGGCTGGGGTTGTGCTCAGTGGCAGAGCGCTTCCCTAGCATGTGTGAGGCACTGGGTTCAGTTCTCAGCACCACATAAAAATAAATAAAAAATAACCGTCCATCAACAACTAAAAAAAAAATCCACCTGTAATCACAGCTATTCAGGAGGTTAAGGCAGGAGGATCCAAGTCTGAGGCCAGACTGGGCAACTTAGCAAGACCTTGTCTCAAAATTTTTACAAAAGGGCTGGGGATGCGGTGGCACAGGCCTGTAATCCCAATGACTTGGGAGGCTGAAGCAGGAGGATCACGAGTTTGAGGCCAGCCTCAGCAACTTAGCGAGACCCTGTCTCAAAATAAAAAATGAAAAGGCTGGGGATGTGGCTCAGTGGTAAAGCACCCCTGGGTGCAATCCCTACTATGCCCCCCACCAAAAATTTTAGTTCCTCGGTTCCACTAGTCGCACTTCAAGGGCTCAGCAGCTGTGTGTTGAGTGTGGTCACAGCAGGGGTCCCTCATCTCACAGCGTTCTGTTGGACAGTGCTGTTCCCCGGTGCAGCTGAATTTGCCTCCATGGGCCTTTCATGTAGGATGGGGACACAGAGCTAGGGTTTTGTGACCGCACAGAACAGGCCATGTGACCGCTTAAGGACGTCTCTGTGTGACCGAATCTGCTCTGGAGCCTCGTGCACCATGGCCTGGCTGTACAGTTGCCACTCCCCCCATCCCCCCAGGGCTGGGATCATCTGCTGAAAGAGCCGAAGTGCGGAGCAGGACAGAACGGCTGCCCACGACGCGGAGACCCTGTTCCTGCGCTAGGAGTGGCCAGGCGGGCACCTGGCGGCGGAGCTCTGGCGCCTCACCTTTCATCCAGCTCAGCGGGTATTCGCGCCTGCACACGGGGCTGATGCAGTGGGAGGTGTAGAAGGTGCCGTGGGCCTCCACCAGGTCCTCGGGCTCCAGCCCTGCCACGCGCTCCAGGGTGTCTATGTTCTGGAAAGAGACGGCGGGGACATGAGCCAGGGAGCAAGTGGAACGTGGGCACAGGCCCGGAGAGGGAGAAGCCAGCAGCAGGCGTGTCTGGAAACTGTCCCGTTCATCCAGTGGGGCCACCAAAGGGTCAACAGTCGGGGTGGCAAGCCAGACGTGGGCTACTCAGGAGACTGAGGCAGGAGGACCACGAGTTTGAGGGAAACCTGGGCAACTTAGCGAGGCCCCGTCTCAAAAGCAAAGCAACAAAAATTCAAAATAGTCAGAGGACAGGGGTTGGGGGGTGGTAGGACGTCGACTCCAAAGACCACACCCCCAGCTTCCACTAGCTCATAGGACATTTTTCTGCAAATTCAGGCCACTCTGCTTCTGTCTTTCAGTAATTTGGTTAAGAGATCCAGGCACTGTACTGATTTTTGCCAGAAGTTTGTTGAAATAAATGTGTGAATCTCAAATGTCTGTTGGATACGGAGCCTCCTCAGATGTGGCATCCTTGTGTAGTACCCAACCTGGACATCCGTACATGGTGGCTGGGCCACACACCGACATCAATAAATGAATCAAGAGGACTTATTTGGTTTGAAACACAATGATTTCCTACTTGGCAGGCATTATGGTCTGTTTCATAGATGACATGTTAACCTATATTTTTTTAAGGCATCTTTGTATGCAACTGGCCAGAATGTTCTCTCATTTTTCTTGAAATGACCAACCCCAGTTCCCATTGACAACTGCTGTTGAGGCAGGTGCTGATGAAGGCCACCAGCAGATGTGACACAGGGGTGGCCGGTCACGTGCAGCCTGCGGCTGAACTTAGAAGGTCTCTCAGACTCTGTAAACACTGGAGAGGGTTCCTTTCAAGGGAAGATGGCCCGACTCCCCTCTCAGCTCCCTGCAGTGGTCAGCTTGTCCCCATAACATGAGACAGGAACACTGTTCCCAGACCCCTGGCGTGTCCTCGCCCCACGCTGTAACAGAAATTCTGCTTTTGCCTTTGGTAACTGACTCAGTCTACTGTCTGAGTCCTAGTGAGTGAGTACACTGTGTGCTTACAAATATCTAATTAACAGATCCAAGAGTCACAGCAGACACCCCTTATTTGTGGGGGGGATGTTCCAGGACCCAGAAGATGACTGAAATTTTGGATGGTGTCAAATCCTGTAAATACAGACGCTTTTTAACTTATGATGAAGCTGTGTCCTGATAAGTCTGTCGTACGGTGAAAATAACCTAGGTGGAGAGGGCACTGTGTACCCTGCTGGACGTCACAGCTGCACCCAGGCTCTGTACAGCACTGGTCATTGCCTTCCATGAGCATGAGGCTGCCCAGGAGCTGTGGCTTGCGATGGCTTGCTACTGCCGCCCAGCATCACAGCTTTGCCACACAGAACCAGAATTAATTTGTCTTTCCATGTTTTATGTCCTTGTGTCTCTCTGCATCATAACTCTGACATTTGGGGTCTGTTAACAAATAAAATAAGGGTTACATGAACCTGATAATCAAGATGACTGAGTGACTAACGGGAAGGTAGCATATACCATGTGGATATGCTAGATAAAGGGATGATGAAGGTTCTGGGCAGGGTGGAGCAGCACAGCTTAGAATCTCATCATGCTACTCAGTGGAAAACTGACAAACTGTTTATTTTTGGAAATTTCCATTTCACATTTTTGGACTGAAGTTGAAGGCAGGTAACCTAAACCACAGAAAGCAAAACTGAAAATAAAGGAGCACAACTACACCTCAGTACCTCTGTGCTGTTCCTCCACAGCGCTTTTGATAGAGAAAGAAATTAACAAAAGGAGCGAGGCTGACCTGTAGGTACTGATATGATCTCTCCAAGGTGTTACAAGGTACAGAAAAACAAAGCTGTGTGTTTAGGATGTGGAAACACAGTCATGTGCCCCTTAGAGACAGGAATATGTTTTGAGAAATGCATTATTAAGTGATCATGGAGTGTACTTGCGTAAACTAGGATAGCTATAATGTCGCTATACTATAATGTCACTAAGGCTATGTGACCTTTTGGGGAGGGCGCTGGGGACTGAGCCCAGGGTTCACGTGTAATGAGCATGTGCTTTACTACTGAGCTACACCCCCAGCCCTTTTTCTTTTCTTTCTTTCCTTCCCTCCTCCTTCCTTCCTTCCCTCCCTCCTTTCTTTTTCAGGGTCTTGCTATGTGGCCAGGCCACCACACCCAACCAGGCAATATAATCTTTTTTTTTTTCCCAATTACAATTTTGGGGGGGTACTGGGGATTGAATTCAGGGGCATTCGACCACTGAGCCCCATCCCCAGCCCTACTTTGTATTTATTTAGAGACAGGGGCTCACTAAGTTGCTCAGCACCTGGCTTTTGCTGAGGCTGGCTTTGAACTCGTGATCCTCCTGCCTCAGCCTCCAGAGCTGCTGGGCTGACAGGCAAGCGCCACCGTGCCCGGCTCCGGCACAGTCTCACAGGGAGCAGCGAGCGCATGAGCTGCCATTGCCACCTCCGGGAATGTTCATTCCTCTGACAGATTTGACAATAAGCCCGTTCCTTCACAGCGCTCCCCCACACTGAACGAAGTTTAGATTAAGGAGGGTGGAGTGGGGGCTGGGGGCTCTCCCCAACTGTGAGGTTTGTATTTAAATCTGAAAATAGGGTGAAGTGCTTGCAGAAGGAGACTCAGCCTGGGGGTACAACTCAAGTGTCTGCTCCCCCCACACCTAACCCCGACACACCGGCTGCAAAATACTGAGGGGGGGGGTGCTCTACCACTGAACTACATTCCTAGCCCTTTTTTTTTTCTTGAGACAGGGGGCTGGGGTTGTAGCTCAGCGGCAGAGCACTCACCTAGCACAGGTGAGGCACGGGGTTTGATCCTTAGCACCACATAACGATAAAGATATTGTGTCCACCTACAACTAAAAAATACACACACACAAACTGAGACAGGGTTTTGCTAACTTGTCCAAGTTGGCTTCAAGCTTGCGACACTATCTCAGCCTCCTGGTTAGCGGGATCCCAGGCATGCCTCGTGGCCTGCTATCATCTTTGCTTTTTAGCTAGACTGTTTACCATTTGTGCTTGATTATTGACATGATCTTAGGATCACCTGGCTATCATGCACATTCTAGATATCTTTATTTCCTTTTCCTCATTTTCTGCCTTTTTTTGGAAGTGTAGTTTTTCTTATTCCACTTCATTTCTTTTGCTGGCTTAGTTGCTATAACTGTTTTGTTATTTTAGTGGTTGCTTTGAGGGGGGGTGGGGGATGGCAAATGGTGGCCTCCTGACAAAATCCAGCCAGCCACTGGCTTCTGTATGGTTGTGAGCTAAGAATGGCCTTTTACATTTTTAAATGTGTGGTTTTTTTTTTTTTTTTAAATCAGGATAATGATGGTACAGGACAAGTGAAATTTATTAAAAAGTTCAAGTTCCAGGCTCCATACATCAAGCTGCACTGGGGTGCAGTGAGGCCCCCTCATCTCCACGTTGCCTGGGGCTGCCTTTACTCCACAACGGCAGAGTCCAGCCAGACCATCAAATTTGAGACAGGGTCTTGCTAAGGTGCCCAGGCTGCCCTTGAACTTGTGATCCTTCTGCTGCAGCAACCTGAGTAGTGAAGAATCAGCTTTTAAACAGCATGAAGCTGCTATGTGGGTGTGGAAACAGAAGGTTCTTCCAGACAAGGGCCCAGTGGAACAAACCAAATACGGAGCTTCAAGCCCAGCGTGAACACGGTGTATAACTCACGAAGCCTCGAAGCTGTTTGCTGTGGAGATCACAGTGGCTTGAATGAAGGCGACAACTGTCCTAATGTGTGAATGGCACTTGCGCCTTGAGCTAAATATAGCCTTGCACATAGCTCCCAAAAGTGCTGCGTCATCACAATTCAGAAGGAGTCAAAGATGGCGTGTTCCAGAAAACTGGGTCAGTGACTCAAATAGGGACTGAGGTGGAAGAGGAGGACTACAGGAAGCATTTCATGCAGCATGAGAGTGGAACATTTTTTCCCCACTCTTGATATATTTTATATAATTAACCATTTAAAATCTCTATATGGAGTTAGATCTGTGCATTAAATATCACAGGCAGGAAGCTGGGCACAGTGTGTTTCCTGTAGTCCTAGCTACTAGGGAGGCTGAGGCAGGAGGATGGATTAGCCTAGGATTAGAGGCCAGTCTGGGCAACATAGCAGGACCCCATCTCAAGTAAATACATAGTTAATTAGATTTTAAATTACAGGGAGCAGGTGGGTGCCTGTGAATCTCACACCGACCACACATACTTATGTGGGCATCCTGGTGACAAGAGCCCTCAGTGCTGCGGCTCAGACTCAGAGCTGGGTTTTGCCCTTAAAGTGCCATCAGTGGCTACACTGAGTGGCCCTCACACGTGACTTTATGGAGGCCTCAGTTTCTCCTCCTGTTGGATGAGTAACTCCAGCCACACCAGCTGCTCTGGCCAGGATCTTCCTGCTCAAACCCAGGCTCCGTGGCCAGCTGTCCCTGCACCTGTCCCAGCTCTAATCCCTCATGCCTCCAGTCCCCCAGCCACCCACCCGCCTTCCCCTCTAGGAAGAGGCAGCAGGCACGCGGCTCAGAACTGGCGGGTGGCCCTGACTCTCCTCCTTCCCTGGCACAGACAATCAGGAAGCACCTTCACAACCTCCATACCCACCCCCTTCCCGTGCCCCCAGGCTGGCCTCGCTCTCTCCTCCTGCTTGGTCTCTGCGGCTCCTCTGCAGACCCAAGACCCGTGATCTACCCTTGTCACCTCCCTGACTCACTCCTCCTCCTCCCCTCAGGGCTCACTCAGTCCCGCTTCTTGGGGTTCTTTGTGCACTAAACGCAGCCCCCCTCGGGACCTCGGCCCCTCCCTTTGCCTGGAACCTCTTCCCTGGTAACCCCAAGGCTCCTTCACAGGTTTTGCTTAAATGTCCCCTTCTCCTGGCGTCCTGTTGACAACAGCACCTCCACCACCAACCTCCTGATTCTCCTGATTCTTCTCCCTTTCTAAATGTGCCCCTGAGACCTGTCACCATCTGACACACTAGGTCTGTGACTTCTCCATCTTGTCCTTGTGACCTCCCCTACAACACGAGAGTATCAGTGGAGAGAGGCAGAAATGACTGCTCTGGTTGCTGGCACTGGGTTGGCACCAGTGAACACCCTTAGAGAGCGCTTGGCTCATGCTGGGTGCAGGGGCACATGCCTGTAATCCCAGTGACTAGGAAGGCTGAGGCAGGAGGATTGTAAGTTTGAGGCCAGTCTCGACAACTTAGGGAGGCCTGGTTTCAAAATAAAAAATAAAAAGGACTGGTGATGTAGCCAGTGGTAAAGTACCTTTGGGTTCAATCCCCAGTACCAGAAAGAAAAAGAAAACAAGCTCTTGGCTTCAAGTCAGTTCTTAGTATCATGTCCTGTGAGTAAATCATGTCCTCAGAGAGTCCTGGACTCTCTGAGTCAGGTCTGTCCTAGGCTTGGACAGCTCCTGGAAGGAGGAAGTTGTGCCTTCCTGCTGCCACCACAGCCCCCATCTACTTCATTTGAGCAATTTGGACCCCACTTTTAAGCATTCGTGCTCCCCCTGGTGGCAGTTTTTAAGACTGCAGGTGCCAAACTGGGTGCTGGAAGATGCCTACACCCATTTATTTATTATCTTGTTGTGCTGGGAATCAAACCAGGACCTGGCACCTACTAGGCAAGGGCTCTGCCACCCAGCTGTGTGTCTCCAGCCTTTTGAAACTTATTATTATTCTGACATTTTAATTTCTTTTAAATATAATTGACTTTTTTCAAGCAAAGAAACAGAATCAACTGGTCCTCCGGGGATCTAAGTCTTGAGATCTTCAGCAGAATGACCCTACAGTACCAGGTGCTAGAAATAAGGTTAGACACCCTAAATAGCAACCACTTATCTTCATTTTTCAATAGAGAACAGCCCAATGTCCAGTCTTTAAAGGCCTGTCATATAGAACATCTTGATCTACAAAGGACAGAACCACCCAAATCATATGCAGGCTGAGGCAGGAGGATCGCGAGTTCAAAGTCAGCCTTAGCAAGACCAGAGCTGGCCCAGGATTGGGTATCAGAGATGGTGCTTATACTTTGAAAACTTACTCTGAGGCTCAAAAAATTCCTGGTTTCTGACACTAAGAAACAAAGTAAAAAATATTTCAAATGGATCCTCACTAATGTAATTTTACAGAGGTCTTCCACCAGAAGTTTTGGTAGAGTTAAGAGTAGGGGATAAGAGCTTTTGATACTTTAAAAATAAATTACTTAGTAACTAAGAAATTAAACATACCACACTCTGCCATTTGCTACAATAACAAGTTGACAAAGAAGATTATTTAAAAGAAATGCTCAATCTAAAGAGGAGGGAATGGTAACACTTTCCACTACAGAATAACCTCCTGGCTTTCCCAATTAACATTGCCATTCTTCCATGATACAAATTCATCTGGAAAAACCTGTTGAGTTTTGCCAAGGCCAGATGAAAACACAGTGTTTCCTAATTAGCTAAGGAAGCTCAGTGAACATTTTTGGGACGGACCCACAAACTCTGGCCACTGTTTTGTCAAACATCTGCAAACTGCATCATTCCTCAGCACTTAGCCATAGTTTCTGTTCAATATCTCAAAGCTGGGTTCAATTCCACTGTGACTTGTCTCAGGGCTGAAGTGAGTGTCAGTCATCAAAGTCTGGAATGTCATCATAGGAGTAACCCGGTAGCTTTTAGGTGCACAGTAGGCAGTGCACAGATGGTAAAATCCTGGCAGGAACACCAGAATGCCAATGATCAGGACAGGAACGCGGTCTACCCCCCTCCCGGCTTTTGCTAATGTAGCCTGACAGCAGGAGGCAGCCTCTGATAATGAGAAAGGCGCCAATCAAAAATAGCACAGTGGCAAATGCAGTGGCCTTTAAGGGACCTCAGGAGGGCTTTTCTTAAACTGAAGGTCAGTGTGGCCGTCATCTGGCTGGAGAGCCTTGAGCGTTTCACTTTACTACCGGGATTCCAGTAGCCAGATTAGACGGTCAGAGCACACGGAAAAACAGCTACCGTCCAAGCACCCGCCAAGACTGGGGCTGGCAGGGACCCCGCCCGCGGCTACCAGCTGAAGTGTCCCAGGCCTCATGGCACAGCCCCAACCTAACTGCTGCCCCAGTGAGAACCAGCCTGCCCCCGGAAGTTCTGAACTTGTGATCCTCCTACCTCAGCCTCCCAAACTGCTGGGATTAAGGCCTGTGCCACCACACCTGACCATGACACTGCTTGTATTCAAGTGTTATATCTCTGGTTTACAATTTGGTGCTCTGAGGTATGGGTTAGCGTGTGTGCACGCTGCTATAATACATCATGCGATTCCAAAACGCACCGATTAAACAAAGATAGAGGCACAGATACATGTGACTGGGTAAGACTCCACAAATCTCGCGGAGTAATCAGAAGGCCACAGTGTGAGCCACCCTTGCCAAGCACCCTGGCACGAGGAGGCCCTGGGTTAAGCCTCTGACCTGTGCACACCATGGCACATTTGATGCCATACTTATGATTATGCAAATGAATAAAAAGTACCACTTCCTTAAGGTAAAATGTCCACCTGAAAAATGTCACAGTGATCTTGCCAGCTCTAATCATTTTGGTGTCATCTGCTGGAAAGCTCTTAAAACAAATAGGAGCAGGCATGGTGACGCATACCTGTAATCCCAATAGCTCGGGAGGCTGAGGCAGGAGGATCTCCAGTTCAAAGTCAGCCTTAGCAACTTAGTGAGACCCTAAGCAATTTGGAGACCCTGTCTCTAAGTGCCTCTGGGCTCAATCCCTAGTAACAAAATCAATAAATAAAAGCCAATAGGAACTCTGGGCCGTCCATGGTGTCTGGGCTGTCCCCTTAGGTGGGGCCCTTTAGCAGCAGGCACAGGATGACCTGACAGGAATTCACGGCCTCCTCACCACACACCTGAGAGGGTGAGGCTGTTCTGGAGCCCATTTTCTGAAGGGGAAACCGAGGCTGAGAGGAAGTGACTCACGGTAGGTCATGTGGCAGGGGAGCAGAGTGGCCCCACATCTGGCTGAGTTGCCCCCAAGCTCTTAGCACACAGCACGGCCCCCCAGGCGCCCGCCTTCCCGCCTCCCCTGCCCTCCCGCCTACCTGGGTGTAGCAGCGCAGGAGCAGCCCCTTCTCCTTCATCAGGCGAATGAAGTAGTGACAGATGGTCGGCTGGAGGGGGTGAGGACAGGCTGCTGTGACGTCCACGCGCACTGCCCCCTGGGAACCGTCCAGCACTCGGAGCCCCGCACCAGCCCCTTTCCCAGATGAGGAAGTGGACATCCCGCGGTGGGGAGGTGGCAGCCAGGCAGGCTGCCCCGCAGTCCAGGTACTTGAGGACTTTATAAAGTTTGGCTGCAGGGCCCTGGAGAGGGCTTCTCCTTGTCCCCTCTCGCCCCCCCCCACACCCCCCCCGCAGGTAAAGATCTCACCTTGAATTGCCCAGGATAGAGTTCCTTGGCAAGGGCAAAGAAGGGTTCTGGATGTTTCTGTGGGCGAGACAGGAAGAGGGCCGACGCCCCAGGTGAGACGAGTGGGAACCAGGCAACCCCTCCCGTCCCTCATGACAGACGATACCTTAAAGTAGCCAATCTCAAAGATGGCCTCCGGGTAGGGCAGATGGTATTTCTCCAGGTTGGCGTAGAGGCCGGTGGATGGAGAGCGGAAGTCGGGGATGCCCGCAGCTGGGGGAGGAGGGACGGAGACGGTCAGTGATTCCAGCCCCACCTATGCCCTCCCAGGCGGGGCTCAGAGGGCCCTCCCCAGCCCCCGGGGGGTGCTCCACCATTTCTGGGGCAGCGGCTGGGGAAAGGGGGCACTCACCTGTGGAGATTCCGGCTCCCACCAAACAGATGACCCTGCGACCTGCAGGACAGGAGTTTAAGGTCACTTGACACGGTTTGCTCAGCCACCCAGGCCCTGACCCCGCCTCCCCGTGCCAGGCACCACTTCAGATGCACGATGGTCTTCACAGCCATCTCCAGGGGACAGTGTTGGCTCCGTTATGTCAGAATCCAGGAAACCAAGGTTCAGATTGGGGGACACAGTCACCGGGAAGAAGAGTCGGCAAGGGGCCAAAGAATGCATTGTCTGAGGGGCTGGGGCTGGGCTCAGGGGCAGAGCGCTCGCCTGGCATGTGGGAGGCCCTGGGTTCGATCCTCAGCACCACATGCAAATAAATAAAAATACTGTGTTCATCTACAACTAAGAAAATATTTTTTTTTAAAAAAAGGAATGCACTGTTGGAAATGATACCAATTTGGGAAGACTTGGGAAGACTGAGAAGGCTGTGGGTGTGGTGGGGGGCGGGGTCCCTGGAAAGAGATGCATTTTAATATAAGCCTCCCACCCGGGGACGTCGCAGAGGAAAAGCCCCGGCCTAGCCTGCTCAAGGCCTAAGTTCCACCCCAGCATGGCACACTCTGATAACGGCTCATCTTCTGAACACAACCTTGGATGACCTTGTACTTCTAGCACATTCTATAGACTCTTTCATATCCTTTCCTCTGAAGGCAAACACACATCAGTCACTTGAAGCTTGGTCAAGTTGAGGTGAAGTCTAAGGATCTGCCATCTCAGCCACACTCCCGAAGTTGAGGGCGGAGACAGGCTTGAGGTCATGGCTGTCCCATCCCCTGGTGGCTGTGGGGTCTTACACTGCTCCTATTACTACCCCAGGATTCAGCTTTCTCCTCTGTAAATCAGCATAATTACAGTACTAACCGCAGGCTGCTCAGAGAATGAATTAATTCACGTAAGGCTTAGATCAGCGCCCGGCACGGGGCAGACACTGCCTATGTGTGACTCGTATTCTTTGAGCCAATTGTACCAAACTTCTCAAGAGCCACAATTTGGATCCTTATAAGCATTTTGCTCCATAATTTTTACCAGTTCTCATAAAAGAAGATGGGAAGATGTGACTGACTGTCCACAAGCACACAGCTGAGCAGAGACAGCCCATGGCTGTGTCAGCTAGGGCTGGGGGGACAGCCTGTCACATGGAACCCAAGCACCTGCCCATCCACCGACAGAGATGCAAGTGCAATGCCCTAGGAACTGGGTGCCCTGGGGTGTCCAATCCAAGGGAAGAGAAAAAGGGTAATCCAAGGTCAAGGTCGGCAACAGCCTAGGCCCTCGCTTCGTCTCTGGGATGCCATCCGAGCAGGCCTGGCTGGACCCAGTGGAGGCAGAAACAGGAGGACCATGTACTCTGGTTTCAGGGGACCTGGGATCCAGTCCTGCCAGCTCTTTGATCCTACAATAAGTCAAAACCTTTCAGGGCCGCAGTCTCCTCCTTTGTCCAGATCACTCCTACAGTAATGGCCTCCCGGGTAACTGTGGAGACCCAACGAGAGGCCCTTACAGGGGTAATGATTATTATAGCTAACAGCCACCTGCATGTGCCAATCACTTCAAGACCCAGTGCAGGGGGCAGAAGACGAAGGCCTTGTGCAGCCACTGTCGGGGTCCTCTCAGGGCCTCCCACACCGGAGGATGGTGTGAGGCAGGCTCGGGACAGCAGGTCTGGGGAGACGGCAGCAGCTGGGGACAGGGAAACTGGAGAAGGCGTGCTCAACAAAAGGCTGTTCAGGACCCTCAAAGGGTCTATTGTTCCCCTGGAGGACGGCTGAGAGCCTGATTTCTCAGACTTTGGTGACTCAACTTACTGCAAGAAATATAAATTTCGTGGTGACCCAGCCAGCACACACTCGCCGAACAAGCTCCCTGTAACAACCACAGCGAACCCTTCCACGCTAGGTTCCAGGCCTCCAAGCAAAAGTCTCAATTTGTTCAGCGCCACCCCTAACCCCGAGAAGTGTAATTATTTACCCTCATTCTAGGAAAGGGACTGGCCAATCAGAGACCCAGAGCTTGATTCAGGTTGTGACCCATCTTGGGCCAATGGGAGTCAGTCTCTGGTGTTTTGCCTCAACCGCTGGAAGTGTAGGTTCTTTGAGTAGCAGCAGCTGCTAACCTGGCGGAGTCTGCATCTGGAGCTGCGGGGAGTCACTCACGCCCCCCAGGGGGGGAAAAGCAGCCCCAGAGAGTTGAGACCATGGAAGCACCCAGGTCCAGCGTGCTCAAGGCTGGGTTCTAGGGTCTGCAGAGTTTTTTGGTTTTGTTTTGTTTTTTGCTTAAGAGCTGGGTTTCTTTCTTTCTTTCATATATATATATATATATATATATTAGTTGCTGATGGACTATTTATTTATGGTGCTGAGAACTGAACCAAGTGCCTCACACATGCCAGGCAAGTGCTCTACCACTGAGCCCCAGCCCAGCCCCAAGAACTGGGCTTCTTACTATTTACAAACAAAAGATATAAGTCATTTGTGGTCAGGAATGAGAGAAGTGGCCCAACCAGCGGGGACACGGGACTTACAGCGCTCACTCTGCATGTAGCGGGCCACCCCTTCCAGGGTTAGCTCATCCAGCAGACGCTCCTTTTGGGTGCCCAGGCCCAGGGTCTGGGAGAAGAAGTTCCGCAGGAAATCCACTGGCCAAAAAGAAGAGAGCCAGCGGCTGGTGGGCGTTCAGCCAGGGCATGTAGATGTCCTCAGGGCCCTGAACCAGCCTGGGGTCCCCAATCCTCCCCGCCACTGAAGGCACAGTGCCTGGCCCAGCCAGTGGCCTCCAGACCCTGCTCTGCCCATTTCTACAAACTCCGAATGTCACTCCTGGTGGCCCCAAGGAGTGTTCCTGGACCCTGGTCCTAACTCCACAGCCCGCCCTCCCTGCCCTCCAAGGAGACACTCACTCTCAGCTTCTCCGCCAGCGGCTCCTCCTTCAGGGTCTGAGTCGGAGTCCTGGAAGGGTGGGGTGGGGGTGGCCAAGCCCCAGAAGTGGGTTAGGGAGGGAGGGGTGGGCGTGGCAGCGACACCGGGTTTGAGGGCAGGTTCTGGCTGGGAAGTGGCCTGAAGGAGGGGGAGCAGGAGAGGCCTAGTGCTGGGGCCACCATGAAGTCTGGGACGGGCTGCTGCGGGGCAGGGGCCCCTGGGCCTGCTGCTCCGTGGACATGACCTCGCGAGGGGCTTTACTTTTCTGGGTCTCAGTGCCTCCTGGTGGAGACGGAGCTCAGGGCTGCCGTGAGGATGGAAGGGGTTGGCACAGGTGAGGCGCCTGCACAGCCCTCACCAGTGGGCGCTCCGGAAATGGAAGTGCTGGCTGCTGCTGTATCACAGGCCTGGCATCCACAGCCTCCCCTATGTCCCTGTCCTGTGGAGTGTGGCCCGCTGCCCCTGCTCACGGAAGTCATTTCCATGGGCAATGCCAGCAGAAGGTCTTGGGTCTACCCCCGGTCCCCCTGCTTGAACCCCTCTCACTGCACTCTCGGGGACTCTGTCCTGGGCCCTCCTGGCTTTCCCTCGGCTACTGCCACATCTATACCAATGTCCTCGCCTCGTCACTGATAATGCCACCTCATCATCAGACCCAGGGTTCCTGAGGCCTCACCCTAGATGACCTCTGCGTCCCTCACTCTGTGTCCCAAATTGGCCTCAGCATCTCCCCCAAACCTGCTCTTCCTCCCAGGCCCCTGGGGCGGATCTCACTGTCTTCAGTCACCCCCACCGCACACCCTTGCCCGCCAGCCACAGCCCGCAGCCCCTGGTCTGTCCACTCAGCCTCCTGAGAGTCTCTCTACTGACCCCTTCTGCCACCCCAGGGCTCTTCCTGGTCCAGCCTGTCCTCTCTCCAGGGTCCTTCCCTGGCCTCCTCCTAGACTCTAGGTCTTAGTCTCTGCCTCCAAACTACCCTGACCCTCCAGGTGACGGCTGTCTGGGTCAGCCCATTCCTCCCTGCATCAGAGGATTCTCTGGTGACTGCAAGCTCGTCATGCCACTGCAAACACATCCACAGTCCCCGTGATGTCAGTTCCAAAGGGGCCGGGACTTGGTTTGTTCACCACTGAATGCCTGGTGCTGAGAGCACAGCAGAGCAGGGTCTCTGGAACCATCCACCATTGAATGCAAGCCTGTTCTGTGCGAGGCCAGGGCCGTACCCTGCCGCGGATCTACAAATCCACAGCTCGACCAACAACTCAGTCTTCAGCTTCAGGGCCCTCAGATAATGCCTCTTCCTGGCCACTCGCTATTCTGGTTCCAAGTTTTTGGAATAAGAACCTCCCTTCAAAACATATTTAAAAATAATTATCACTTTTTTTTTTTTCAGTGCTGGGGATGGAACCTGGGACCTTGCTAGGCAAGTCCTCTACTGCTCGGCCTCAGCCCCAGCCCCTTCATTGCTTTTTAAGATTGCACAACCTTTGCAAAAACTCTGACCATTAGAAAACACATAACCTGGGCGGTTGCCTTTTGATTTCCCTGCCCCCCCCTCCCAGCCTTGATACAATCACTACTGGGAGCTCAATGGTAATTGCTTTTCTCTGCATATAGAAACTATTTTTGCAGAAACCGGTCCTATCGTGGTGCAAGGCTGCATCTGGCATTTTCCATGGAACAGCAGACCATGCAGCCACCTCATCCTTTCAGGCAGCTACACAGCATGGCATTGTACAGATGAACCATAGTTCATTTTAGGTGTCTCCTGGCAGCCATTTAGGCTGCTTCCAATCTCGCCCTATTGTGGACAATGCGTGATTTACATCCTCGCATCTCTGTGGACTGAGGATCCCTTCTTACCACGAGACCTTGTGCTTTGGCAGTGGTTGTGCTGTGGGGGCCCGGCGAGGGGGATGCCAAGGCTGACAGGAGGCTGTCACACTCTTGGCACGGCTCTGCTGTGCCTCTGTGGGGTACTGAAGTCCCAGCCTCTGCACTGCCTATATTTGAAGCATGCTCTCAGGGTCTGGCTGGGCTGGCATTCTTTCAGGCTGCAGACAATGAGGCTCTGTGGTGGGGGGTCGGACATGGGACCTTCCCAGTAGGGGGGCCTGAGATGCTGGTGCGTGCCTTCGAGCATCTGTGAAGAGGCCAGTCTGTCTGTCCTGCAGCATCTAGAGGGCAGTGTGCCCAGGGCCATGAGATTATGGGTTTGAAATCCTTCCCTGTTTCTCTACCAAGGGACAGAAGACAAGTTACTCAACAGTTCTGCCTTTTTCCTACCTGGAAAAAGGCCTTACTCCTCATAGGGATACTGGGAAGATTAAAACAAGATGATGCATGAAAGCATTAATCAGAGTGCCCAGCTGGAGTAAGTAGTCAATACATGCTGCCCACGGCTATCATTAGCTGACCACCTCCAGCTCCCCAATTTCCCACCAAGCACATCCCACTCTTTCCTGCTCCCAGGTCTTTCTATGAGCTGTACCCTCTGTGCGGGACACCACTTCCCACTGTTGCTAAGAAACTCAAGCCACGCATGGTGGTACACGCCTGTAATCCCAGCGGCTTGGGAGGCTCCTTGACAGGAGGATCACGAGTTCAAAGCCAGTCTCAGCAACTTAGCAAACTTAGAGAGGCCCTAAGCAACTCAGTGAGACCCTGTCTCTAAATAAAATATAAAAAAAAGGCTCAGTAGATATGCGCTCTGGCATCCAATCCCTGGTACTAAAATAAATAAATAAATAAAAATCGAAATCCACTCTTCGCTTGTTACATTGTGACTATGTATCGCTCTGAATCCTAGACCAGCCTGTGGGTTCCTCCAGAAAAGAGCCTCTTTTGGAACCTTCTGTGACCTACAAAGTTTGCTCTGGGCTCCCAAAGTGTCCAGCTACTTTCATAATCACCTTGTAGAATCACTTTCTTGTCATTTATCCATGAGATCTGCGAGTTTAGGAACCAAATTGGATTTGTCTACTAGATGAGTAAAAAAGGAGGTTCAAAAGAGACTGGGGTACGGGGGTGGGGGGGTGGGTGCACTAAAGAAAAAGTAAAGTTTGGAGGGAAGTCCTAGGGTTGAGACACACACTTTTTTTTTTTCCTGACAATCCCCAGAAGCCACCAGTTCCCAGGAAGCTGTACCAGTTGGGGAGAGGGATTGGGATAATGAGCTGAGGGCCCAGGGGTCACTGTCTCCCCCTCTGCCACCTCCCAGGGGGTTTGGGATGTGGGAACAAGTCCATCTTTCTCCTTCCCTCCACCCTTTCCCCCATCTCACCTGAGCCTCCTGCACCTTCCCTGCCTGGTTCTCCAGAGGGTCAGAGGCTGGGGAGGAGGGGGAGCAGAGGTGGTTACAGTGGGGGGAATGGTTAAGGGGGAAGGAAGGGGTTCAAAGTGGCAGTGGCTGGGACAAGAAGACCCACCAACCTAGTTATGCTGGAATCAGGGGTGGCGGTAAACGTGGAGTAGAGGGAGGGAGGGGATGGGGTGTAGAGGGCTGGTTAGAGAGGGGCCAAGAGGCCAAGGAGGAGAAGGTTTAGGAGAAGAGGGAGGAGGAAGTAGGGGTGCTGAAGGAAGACGCAGGGGAGTTAGGAAGGCCACCGTGTGAGCGCCTGAGCAGGGAGGAGTCAGTTTCAAGGCAGTGAAAAGTTTGGCGAGGAAGAGAGACCAGAAGGGATACCTTGGCTAGGAAACGGGTTTGGGAGAGAGGCGCAGTGTAGGTTTAGGAGAGGCACCGGAACTGAAGGGGAGACAGGGGGGAACACCAGGCACCCTAACCCTACAGCTGCCCCATCACCAGGTACCCTTAGCAACCGGGACCGCGGCAACATACTGTCCTTGGTAACGGGGGTCCCCGTCAACCAAGGGGCGAGAAACACGCGATCGTTAGTAACTCGACAAACGGGTGGACGAAGCGGACCCTTAAAACTTCGCGACCCAGGAGTCCACCAACCTCGTAACGTGGACCACCTAGCAACGGCCATCGGAATCCCACTCCCCTCGAGCAGCCCCTGTCTCCCGTCCCACCGCGTCTGCCCTCGGGCCCCGGGGCCTGCAGCCCTCAGCCAGGCCCCGGCGCGGCCCGACCCTCCCACCGGGGCCCCCGACTCACGGTCCGGCTCGGCCATGGGCGCGGGGCGGGGGCCCTCGGGGCTGTCACCGACTGCTCTGTCCCGTGACGGCACCGGAAATAGGAGGGGCAGGGATGCGACAGAGAACTACAATTCCCAGGAGGTATCGCGGCAGCATGCGCGCTGTCGCGTGGCGCGCTCCGCTCTTGAAAAAGGAAGACGCGCGAGAACCGGACTACGAGTCCCAGAGGGCCTGGCAGTCGGCAGCCATGTTGGTAAAGGGCGTCCGGAAAATGTGTGGTCGGCTAGGGAGCTTAGTCCCTCTGACTACTCTGATTGGTCACAGCACGGCAAGGGGGCAGGGCGTGGTCGATTTGCCCTGCTCTGATTGGGTGAAAGAGGGGGCGTGTTGGGGAATTCCCCGCAGGGCGGAAGCACCGGAGCTCCCGGCAGAGCCCAACGACAGACCGGCGGCCGCGGGGGCCCCTGAGGTGGCCGGGGCCATGGCCGGGGTTGCGTGCTTGGGGAAGGCTGCGGACGCGGATGAATGGTGCGATAGTGGCCTGGGCTCTCTGGGTCCCGACGCAGCGGCTCCCGGAGGACCAGGGCTGGGCGCGGAGCTGGGCCCGGGGCTGTCGTGGGCGCCCCTCGTCTTTGGCTACGTCACTGAAGATGGAGACACGTGAGTGAACCCTAGACTGCCAAACCGAGCCCTGGGATCCGACGTCTGGTTTCCCATTAGTCTCGGATCCCTGTGGCTTCCTAACCTTTTACTCTTAAGTCTGACCTCGATGCTAGACTTCCTGACCCTAATCCCCAAGTTCTAACTTGTGTCAAAACCACTCTCCTGCTTTCATCCTATCCCAATAATCTCTGACCTTCCTTTCTGGAACTCTGTTCTTAGCTCCTGGCATCCACATCCTACCTACTGACCCCCAAACCCGATTTGAACCTTCCTGACCCCAGTCCCAAGACCTTAGTTAGAACTCTGGCTTGGGTTCCTTCTGCCCTCTAACCTCCAAATATGATCTTTGATCCTGATTTGTTTTTAGACGTTGATTTCCAAAATACTTGCCCCCAAATCTATGATCCTGTCTTCTAAGTAATGATCTACACAATCTTAAGTTCCACGCTACCACTCCAGACCTATTTTAGGAACTAGCGACAAGTAGTGAGGAAAAGAGACAAAAATGGATGTCCTGGGCACTACATATTTTAATAGGACAATTAGATTGCTAGAAAGACAGGAAGAAAGAGAGACAGAAAAAGAAAGGAAGATTCTGTCGAAAGGAGTAAGTGCTTTGGAGAAAAGGTAGGAAAATGAGACAAGTTTTTAAACTGAGGAGAACATTCTAGGCAGAAGGAAGGGTGGTTGAGTCCTACGTAAGGGGCTGTGCCTGGGAAGTGGAAGTGTCCTATGTAAGGGACTGTACCTGGGGGTTTTGTTGTGTTTACTGTAGCATCCCCAGTGACTCAAGGAGTGTCTGACGGATGAGGCACTCAGGGATCTCAAAGAACCACCTTTGGTTTCATTAATTTTCCCTGTTGTCTTTTCAGTTTCTATTTTATTGGTCCCTGTTCTGACTTTTTATATTTCCTTTCTTCTGAGTGCTTTGGGTTTAATTTTATAGTTTTTCTTTTTCTTTTTTTAAATTGGGAATTGAACCCAGGGATACTCTACTACTGAGCTATATCCTTAGCCCTTTATTTATTTATTTGTTTGTTTGTTTTGAGACAGGATCTTGCTAAATTGCCAAGGTTACCCTCAAATTTGCAACCCTGTCTCAACCTCCCAGATAGCTGGGATTACAGGCATGGGTGCGCCACCAGCCTGGCTCAAATCTTTGCTTTTTTTTTTAAAGAGAGAGTAAGAGAGGAGAGAGAGAGAGAGAATTTTAATATTTATTTTTTAGTTTTCGGCAGACACAACATCTTTGTTGGTATGTGGTGCTGAGGATCGAACCCGGGCCGCATGAATGCCAGGCGAGCGCGCTACCACTTGAGCCACATCCCCAGCCCCTCAAATCTTTGCTTTTTAACTGGACTGTTTAAACCATTTATGCTTAATTTAATTATTGATATGGTTATTTACTTTTGCTATTATATATTTCTGTGTATCTTATCTTTATTTTTCTTCATTTTCTGACTTTTTGGAAGTGGAGTTTTTGTTATTCCACTTTATGTCTTTTGCTGGCTTATTTGCTATCACACTGTTTTGTTATTTTAGTGGTGGCTTTAAGGCTTTAAGGTGGGCTTGGCAAACGGTGCCTCCAGACAAAATCCAGCCAGCCACCTGCTTTTGTATGGTTGTGAGCTAAGAATGTCCTTTGTATTTTTAAATGGCTTTTAAAAATCAGCATAATAAGTGAAAATTATAAGAAAATTCAAATTTTATCTAGATAGGGAAGGGGGTGGGAGGGAAAGGGAGGGGCAGGGGATTAGCAAGGGCTGTGAAATGTGATGGACATATGTACACATATATGAAGACCCGAATTCAGGGTCAACATACTTTATATATAAACAGAGATATGAAAAATTATGGTATATATGTGTAATAAGAATTGTAATGCAAAAAAAAAAAACAAACCCCAAAAACAAAGTACATGTATAAACGCATGAATTGGTGGGGACATACTCTATATACAAAGATGGAAAATTGTACTCTATATGTGCAATAAGGATTGTAAAGCATTCCACTGTCGTGTATTTAAAAAAAATAAAATCAATAAAACTAACTAACTGAATATTTTAAAAAAAGAAATTCAAATTTTAGGCTCCATAAATAAAGTTGTATTGGAATACGGTGAGGCTCGTTCATGTACATGTTGTCTGGCTGCTTTTACTACAACAGTGGAGTGAAGAGAGATTTTTGTGAGGGCCGGGCTATAGCTGTGGTAGGGACTTGCCTAGCATACCTGAAGCCCTGGGTCGAATCCCTAGCACCAGGAGAAAGAAAACAAACAAAAAACCCAAGAGACTGTATGATCCCAAAGCCTAAAATAGTTATCTGTCTCCTTATAGAAAAAGTTTGTTGACTCTTGCTTTAGGGTTTATAATGTATGATCTTATCAGTGTCCCTTCAAGCAGCCCTGTGCTACCTCGCATGAGGGGAAGAACCTTAGAATGGCCCACGTAGCTGAGTTGCACAGTGCTTGTGTAACATTCATGAGGCCCTGGGTCCAATCCCTAGCACCTCCAAAGAAAAAATCTCTTGGTCTTTATGCCATTCTTGTAAAAAAATCTTACTTATAAACCCTATCACACATGGATATTATTTTTAAAGTATCTTTAAAGAGATATTTACATATTAGGAAAAAAACACACTTACCCATATAGTTACCATTTTCAGGGTTACTTTATTCCTTTGGGTAGATCAATTATTTCTATTTGATATAATTTTTCTTTTCCTTGTGATTTCCTTGAACTCTTCTTGGAGCATGGGTGTGCTGGTGATTAATGCCTTTAGCCTTTGTATATCTCAAAACATCTTTGTCATCCCCCCCCCCCTTGCTGCTGGGTTTAAACCCAGGGTCTTGCACGTGCTAGGCAAGTGCTTTATCACTGAGTTACCCTCCACCCCCAGCCCTGGTCACCTGTATTTGTTTCTGAAAGATTTTTGCTGGGTAATGAATCCCAGGTTGACTGTCTGTTTTTCTGTACTTGAAAGGTGCCGCAGTCTGGCTGGGCACAAGATCACGAGCCACTCACAGCTTTGTAGATTCAAACAGCAATTCTTTATTCCCGAACTCACACCGGCCCTCTACCAACACGTTCTGGGCAAAATTCACGTACTCCACCAGGCTTTGAATCCAAAATACATTCTGAATTCAAGGGGAACTCAGGCAGCAGGATATGCCCTATTCCCAGCAGGAATAACCTTAAACCTTGAACCGCCCTAAACCCAGATTGTTCTAAACCGGGAACGCCCTAAACCCAAAAAACCTGATCCGCCCTAATCCAGTAGGATCCTCCTTAAACCCGGATCCACCCTGGTCCTTGAGCAGGGTCACCTTTCTCAAACATACATGCAATGTCACTTCAAATGTCCATTTCGAGTCCTTCCTCTAAGCAACATGGGGTACGCTGGCAAGGAAATTTCGATGCGTCATTCCTACTTGGCAATGGCTCTCAGCAGAAAGGGGTGTCTCCGTTGTGTCTTCCTGTGCATTTCCTATGTGAAATCTTCTATCTTTATTTTTATGCCTCTGAACTTATGGTGCCTTTTTTCTCTGGCTGGTTTGAAAAAGTTTTGTCTTTTTAAAAACATTT